CAATCCTATTAGTCTAAGCATTGCATAAAATATAGTAGCAGAAGGTAAAGGTGAAAGTGTAAACCTAGGCTATTACAGAGCTTTGGGGCAGTTACATAATAATGAAGAGTGAAGAAAAGAAATCCTAAAACTATTACATCCCAGAAGCAATTACATAATTAGAAAAAAATGCGAGAAAAGATAAATCTACGCTATTACCTTGATAATGCAACCTATACAATTTTCCTAGAAATTAAAATGTATAAGGAAAAATTAAAACCTAAAATTCTAAGTTAATATTTTTGGTGTTTTTTGTAGAAAATAATTTTAAGTTAATTAAAAAACCTAATTCTAACTAATTTTAATAAAAAAAAGTTAATTAACTTAATTTATTAATAAATGAAAAAAATCCAAAAATTCAGTTACTAACTAAAACAAAAAACCTAATCCTAATTTGTTAAAAAAAAGGTTAATTAAAGGGTTAATTACAAAGAAAACCTAAAACCTAATTGTTTTCCTAATTTGCAGAAAAAAAGTTAATTAATTAAATTAAAGAGTTAATAAAAAAAAAGTTAATAATAAGTAAAAAAATAAAAACCTAAATTAATTAGGGTTTTTAAAAAAGTTAAGTTTGCCAATTAATAGGGTTTTTGATTTAAATAAAACTATAGTTTATATGAATTTAGGGTTTTTAAGGAAGATATTAAAGAGAAAGAAATGAGGCACACAGGTTTAAAAGTAAGCAAAATTATACATGTTGTCAGGGGTGGGTGTTGAACCAAAAATTAATTTAAAACCTAAAATTAGATTAAAAAACCTTAAAATTAATTATTCGAGTTTATTATGAAAAATCAAAGGTTTGTGAAAATTTTTAAGTTTTATGGAAAAAAAAGTTTTAAACAGAAAGAATGAAAATAGGTAAAAGGATAAATATAGGAAGAAAACCAAAACCAATATGGGTGCCTTCTCAGGATGTCTTCCTCGACATGCATTGGTTGTTCTGTTTTTCCCCCAATGTTTTGTAATAATCCTGCATGGGATCCTGTCTAAATCTGCAGTGTTGAATCTCATGAACACATTAAATAAATTACTATATCATGAAATACAGATAAAGCAAATATATGAAATTTTGTAATATTAAAACCGATATGACATGTATGAATGATTATACCCTTTTGATCATAGAGATCAAACCAACCTTACCCTTATTGGAGAAGTAGTGAGATGTGAATTTGTAACAAGGATGACTTGTTTGTAGTGAGATGGGGGTTTGTAATAAGGATTTCAAGGTTTTAGGGTTCTTGAAAGAATTTGATATTTTGACAGGATTGTGACAAAAGTTTTTTTTCTCCTCTTGTTTGTTTGAAAAGAATGAGATTATATAATGGAAATTAGAGAAAAAAATGGGCTTCGAATGTGTAATTAGGCCTCCAATAACTACAAGCAATAGTGCAGATTTTTATTCACTTGAGTCCATCACGTTTCAGGCTAAATCTCAGGGGCTTAAGTGCAATATTTGAAGTTGAAATGTGAAAACAAAATGTAGCCCATATCGATAACTAACTCCTGTCCAAAAATGGGCTGAATTGGATAAATGGTGAATTAGTTATGAATTTTTGAAGTTTTGGCTCAGACAAACTTATTTTGGGCTCCAGTGTCAACTCTGACACGTTCTTCAATAAAAAACTGGTATTGATCGGAGCATAAATCGGTCTCTACTTTGGAAGAAAAGTTGTAGATCTCTGAGTCAGTGAGCTTGTTGAAAAAGATGGGCCCAATCCGATAAAAATTGACCGAGTTATGAATTTTTGAAGTTTAGACCCAGATGAAATAATATTCAGCATTCAGGATTATCGGCACATCACGCGCACTATGAGCAAAAAACGAAGGCCTTTTGGATACCGTTCGAACTCAATACGTCCTGTGATAACTTAGCCAACTCAATTTTTGAAATTTTGGCTCCGGAACCAGCTCAATACGATGAAAATCGACCAAGTTATGATTTTCTGAACATGACGCAAATAAACTTGTCACAAATTTTCTGTATGAAAATACTTGATAAATCTGCATTTTTGAAGACCTTATGATCGAAATTGGCTTCCAACCGTGAGAGATGAATACGTAGATAACGTCAAGATGGAATTTTGGACACTGGAATGGGTTCAAAATGAGCCACGATCTTCAAGTTATGAATTTTTTAGTGCGTAAAAACTGCACTTTCAACACACTTTTTCACCACATTTCTTCGAGAAAACTCACACATTCAGAGACCTTATTTAAATAATTGACTCTTGAGCCAAACCTGAATTTGAGAATACATTATCTGAGATATCTTGGTGAAAGGAAACCTAAATATGACGCGTCAGGTTGGACTTGTGAATCTTTGAACCCCGAATCGTTGCGAAATGGTGAATCAATCTTCAGCACTAAAAATACTCTTAGAACATCCATTGACGAAATAAACATCGCTTGTAACCTGACGGAACTTGATAAATATACCTTTATTCCATAACCATAAAACCAATAATATGCGTGTATGAAAAGAGGGTAAATTTTGGGGTACAACAAAGGGTTTCTAAGGTATCTTGTTGCTCTAGGAGTTAGGGTTTTGAACTTCAAATGGGTATATCCAGCTCATCTTTTGGTATTTTTGAGTGATTCCAAAAACATAATTCTCTTAAAAGGGTTATTAACAAATCACATCAAAAGTTTCAACGAAATTTTGTATGGAAGGTACCTAATGATGAAGAAAGATTACAAGTCTTCTAGATGAATCATCAAATTCACTTATGTGACTTCAAAAGACCATATTGATCTTAAATATGTGAACTTAAACCCTTATTTTAAGTTCAAAGTATGAAAATGAATGGAAGATGCCCTAAGGATGCAGAAGATTATAGGTCGTGTTATGAATTTTTGCCAATTTCAACAAGTCATAACTTTCTCAATTTTTGGATATTTTGAATGGTTCAAGTCTCAAACTGTCATTCAAGAGATCTACTTCATGCCATATTTTTTGGTCAATAGCAAAATTCAAAGGGAAGATCATGTTTAGAAGCAAGACATTATAGGTCATTTTTGAAGAAAAACTTAGAAATTTTCTAAGTATAGAAAGTCAACCTCTTTTTTTCAACTTTGACTCATCACAATTTTCATCTCAAGCATCCATTTAATTCCATTATTTTCACATTGTAAAGCTTGTGATCTCATCTTTCTAAAGCTTCAAGAATCATGTCCTAAGACTCCTTGAGCTGAGAATTCCATTGGTTTGAATTTGGTAACTTGAAACTGAAGTTTCTTCTGAAGACAGAATTTGAAATCCTTGATTTAGCTTGTAAACACATTTTTTTATGCATGATTTTGCTTCTAAACATGTTTAGTGAACCTTTAGAAGTGATTAGCATATTAAAACGCAAGGTTTGGATGAGTTTTGATCAAATTACAAGTCACACTTTTCTTGTTTGCAACTTCACACGATTTGCCTCCAAACTTCATCACTTCACACGCTTGAGCATTCAATCAGCTTCCCTATAAATAGAGGATCATCCCTCATTCATTTTCTTAAGCTTATAGAGCCAAAATCACCCTGCCAAACTTCCGTTTGAACTCAATTTTCTACAACTTTGAATTTGCTCTTACAACCTTTCTCAATCATTATTCTTTGTCAATTCACCTTCCTTGAACCTCACTGAAGCTAACAGAAGAAGAATTAAGCTCTAAGACTTCCTAAATCGTGCTAGCCAAGTCCAGTTTCATAGCTCTGCGGCTTAACTTCAATAGATAGATTCCTTCACCAATTCTCTCAAACTTTGATATTGTTATGAAGCTCTCATCATCCTGATTTTAGTCGCAACACTTGTTTTCAACTGGAAGTACACTTTGACTATGAAATTTCAAATCCCTTTTCAAAACTTATTTTCAAAAACGACTGAGCTACAGTTTATTTAAATTTTTCGTGAAGGTACCAATGGTATCATCTTGAAGAGACGAAGCGAATGATACCGGTCTCGTGTCCTAATTTTATAGTTTCTGGAACCTGTAGATTTATTGGCTGAAGGTTGAAGATGACCAACTGTAGCGGTAAAATCAATGAAGTCGCCACCAAGTATTTATTTATCCCATATAAAAGGGAAAGGAAAATCATCGAAGAAAAACATAAAGGGGAAATCAAGGTCTTGCGACCGAGAGATTGGGTAAGAGAGTCGATTATGCAAAGGGAATGTATCAGCACCCCACACGTCCATAGTACTCTATGGGTTCCACTCTTGTTGTTCTAATCAAAGGGTGTATTCAATCTAATGCTTAAGAGTTATAAACTAAGAGGGAATGCATGCAAAGAAAGCACAGGGAAAAGAAGGAAATATTTACAAATTTTCGCTCGGTTGAGCCCCGTGACCAGATGCCTACGTATCCCTTTTAAGGAATCATAGCACCGTAGTTCAGCTTATATATTTTGTTTGTTTATATTTTTTAAATGAACAATGTTGAATTCGATCATTCTACCGTTGCTCGACCTTTGGATACTTATGACCTATAGTGGAAAGGAACTAAAAATGATCTTAGAATAGAAAAGTCGAATGGAGAAAATAAATGGATTCGTTGGTATTTTTTATCATGAAAAGAATTTGTGTATGCTTAGCATTTTTTTACACATTTGCCAAGAAAAAGAAGTTTTAGTTTTAAATGCAATTATGCAAAAATAGGAAGAAAACATCTAAGGGATACTAACTTATCTCTAACCTAATGTTATCATACAATGAGGGATCCTATCTAAGTTAGCATGCCAAAGAAAGTCTAACAAACTATCCTATATGGAACATACAATGAGAGCAAAGTCGTGATCTCAATTTCTAAATTGAGTGACTCATCGATCAACAAGAAATAAAGGAAAGTGATAAAATCCTATAGGGAGCATGCACTGAGAGAGAAGTCGTGATCTCAATTTCTAAATTGAGTGACTCATCGATCAACAAGAAAGGAAACAAACACAAGCACAACACATATAATAAATGAAGTGCAGAATGCCTGCTACAGGTCTTTAAACAGCGACTTCGAGCGCCCGCTCTTTATTTCCTACTTCTCATGATATCTAGAATGCGAAAAATGCGCAGAAGAATAAATTGGAAGCAGTATAATACCAAACGAACAATAAAGTCCACAAAAAAGCGCAACCAAAGCAAAGAAACCCGTAGTACTTCGCGCGAGCTGGCATCAACAAACAAACAGTCAGAGATCGAATATTCGGAATAGATGTCGAAGCTTCATTGATATGAAAATAAATCATAATCGGAACTCTAAATATGTCTGCATATCGAATAATGAACCTGCATAAGACTCAACTTAACAAGCAAAGGTGAATCACAAGTCTCAAGTAATCGAAAATATTAGGAGTTAATTTCCTATAAATCAAATGAGAAATCTAACAAATTTTATTGATTTTTGTAGTTTATTACCCTATAAAATAAGAGGCAATCCTAAAATCTATATTTTTTATTGTTTTTTTTTCATTATATGTATTTTTCTACTACTTTTATTATAAAAGGAATTTAAACTAAAACTAAACAAAATCTAGAAAAAACATAGAAAACATAATTGGTCGGGGGGGTGTTAAATGGGATGGAGGTGTGTAGGCCTGAGGCCTGCTGGATGAAGCCCAAGCAGTTCATATTTTTGGAAAGGTAGAAGCTTTCAAAAATTGGTGATGGACTTACGGGGATTTCGGTTCAGCCCAATCAATACCAAGCTCTCACCTTAATCTTTCTCAGCTTTTATATATATATATCCTGCTTTCATCATACTATCATAAAACAACAAAAAATGAAAAATAAATAAAACAAACAAAACGATGCATTTGGCCAGGAGATAGGGTTCCAAAAGTCTGTGACTCTTGAGCTCTTCGATCAGGGGATTCTTTCCTCTGCCGTACAACATCTCAGAGCGTCTTCAACATTGCAACGACACTCTTCTTCATTCGAAATCATCGTCACCGCCGTACGTTCCAGTGCGAATTCCTCATCGTCAACTTACTTTTATCGCGATTCCGCCATAGTCTCGGCTTCGATTGCATCTTCATCTTACGCACCATTTCGATTTGAGAACATCTCGCTTCTGATCTTCTTCGAAGCTTAGTCTTCACTCACATTCTTCATACTTCGCCTCAACTTTGTCAGGACATTACGTCGCCAGTACCCGTTTACTCCACTTTGTTTCCAACTTCACGAATTTGGTTCGCTGCAACAATAAACTCGAGCTAAGGACAGAAATTGTAGAAGAATCAAAGAATTTTACCTACCAGAGAATCGTCTGGTGCGTCTTCAAAAGGTACAACCTCGTCCTTGATTCTTCTTCTACTCAATATCTCGCGTTTTCTGCCAATTGCTGTTGTATACTTTTGCATGTTTGTGTCATAGTATTGAAGGAACAGTGAAGAACATTGATGCAATTGTGGATTCAATCTTTGTTGCAGGGACGTGGATCGAAGATAAAGCTGATGATGATATCGTTATTGTTGAAGAGACGTTTCTGCATTTACATGATGAAGATGATCGAAAGTTGCATCGAATCTGATTGAATTTGAGAGATGATGAAACGTGAGGGACGAATGTGCAAAAGAAGCTTGATTTAGAGATGAAGATGAAGATTACAGTTATGGAAATTCCAGAGAGAATGAAGGTTTTTGATCAAAGAGGGAATGGAAGGTTGAAGATGACTGAAGATGTAGAGTTCGTTCAAGAGTGGAAAGAAGAATGAAGGTTAAAGATGAAGTAGATGCAGAGTCCATTCAAGAGTGAAAAGGAGAATAAAGGTTAAAGATGAAGAAGATAATGAAATAGTAGAAAGATGAGTCTTTTCTGCCATATTCTCCCCATTCTCTTACCAATCTCTTATATCCTTCCTTGTTCTGTTATGCATACTATTGAGGAGTTTGTTAGGAGTCAGTTAGGAAAGTTGTTAATTCTGTTTTGAAAAAAAAACAGTAGGCTGGAATTTTGTTAGGGATCGTTGTAGTTTGTTAGGAGCTTCAACTTCTATTTTAATTTTCTGTTAGATGAGACTCTGTTATAGGAGTTAGTTGGAAGATGGTTAGGTATTGTACTAGGTTGTTAGACAGTTAGTTATGAATGCAGTTAGAAGTTTATTTCTATTTTGGTTGTTGTAGAAGTTTGTTGAAATCTGTTATGAGAGTGAAATGGGTTAGAGAAATCAGTTGTTGTTGGTTATTTTTTGTTAGGTCATTTGATGGAGGCTTGTTAAACTATTTTTTATTGAACTTTTAGATTGTTGAACTGGACTGCTTATCATGTTTATGAATATGGCAGGGTTGAAGATAATTTTGGACTGGAGAATCAGTTTCAACGAACTAGATTCAACTATAAACTGGTTAGAAATTATTGGTTCTAAAACTTCTGCTAATATTAAGAACTGTTATGCTATTAGAAGTTCTGTTTGGTGACTACATCTTCTTTGAATTTTCTAGTTTTGGCAGCCTAAACTATTTTGAAGCATTTTCTATTTTTTTGTAGTGAAACTGATATGGTTTTACGCATATATACAGGGCAATGTGAATCTAGGCAGCAGCAAGTTTGCTTCCATCTTGATGCAAGATTTGAACCTTGGGTATGGCGCGAAGCTTTAGACCCAAGTAATTCTTGGAGTTAAACAACTTGTAAACTAGAATTAAGTTTTGTAGTATTTTTTCTTTACATTCTTCCTTCCTGTAATGGACTGTACTTTGAAGCTTGAATGGATATTTGGACATAATTCGTAATGGCCTTTGGAATCTTTGTAATGGTTTTTTCCTTGAATAGTTGAAACTAGCCTTGAACAAAGATAAACATGGTGATATGTAGACTTGACTCAATCACCAAGTGCAAACTTTCAGCAGTATGGCCATATCAGTGCATGCAAAGAATAAGGAAATAGTACACAACCTATCAAGTATATTTTGTTTGGCTGCACAACACAAATAAGAAAAGGACGTGGAAAACTGATAATCCCCAAAGATCTATAGAACAATATTAAATGATGAGACTACTACTGAATGTAACTTTAGGATTGCTCAATGTAACTTTAGGAGGCTATGACGGTATGGTGTCTATGACCAGTAAAAACTTGAAGAAATTATTCATATCTATTCTTATAGTATTCAAGCGAGAAGCATAGTTGTCGGATTGCTTCCCTCTTCTCTGGCGAGGTTCTTCCTTTAAAGAACTTATTTCACTTTATATAACCAATAGTTGCACAGCATACAACTCCTTTTGCCCCAAATTTTCAGCTTCATATTGTCTCAACTTATTTTCAAATAAATTGCCTCTACAGTCCCATTCCTCTAGTCTAGAGGTTAAATCCATTTTCAGTTCTGACAAGTTTGTCACATCAGAATGCGATTGATCTTTCTCCAAAGAGAATTGTGCCTCTTGATTATTTGACAATGGAATGTATAACACATATGATCCTTTGAATCAACATTCAGTAAAAAATGAATTCAGTATACTCCTATGCCATGTTTAGTCAATACACCTTAATCTCAAGTGGATCCATAGATTCATGTCATCTTGCATTTGAATCAACCAACTTACATTTGATAAAATGAGCTAAATGAGCTCCCTAACCCATAGCTTAACCAACAAGACATATCTGGACTTGATAGAAACTTAAAACAGTCCTAAATTGCTAGTCAAAGGAGAGAACTTTGATTCAATCCCTTAGGTATCTTCGAAAGAAGTTGACTTATAAAGCAAGTAACCCTTAGATTATGACGAACCTTCAATAAGGGAAGAGTAGTGCTCAATGTAGCCTTGAAGTGAGACTTTAATCCAGTAACCTCCATAGAAGAACCATTACCAAGTTTGAACAAAATGAAGAGAAATCCTGATTCTCTGGCTGAGTTAAACCCTAATGCCTTTATTCCTTGAAGAAACTTTGATGAAGAAAACCTTATATCTCGAGGAACCCTACTAGCGAAGACTTCTATGATGCTTGAGATCCAAAACCCTAATCTAATACCAAGAATGATAAGAACACCAGTTGAATCAACTTTAAGTAAAGTAGCGACTTGGGTTCATAGAGAAAAACCCTAATGCCAAAGCCTTTGATCCCGTAACCATGGAATTGATGATATGCATGTATATAATATAACGAGGGATCTTAGGGGGAAAATTGGGGTATAACACCAACGTGTCATCTATCAACCAATGAAGGCGTGCCACGCATTTTTCAAAATCTGATTTAAATAAATGATTCCATGCTTTATTCAGTAAAGACCATGATATGTACAACGCGTCTGATCCATTGGATTAGCTTACTAACGCATTTTGACTCTCATCCATTGGTCCACATTTTTTTGACTTTATTTTATTTTCTGATTTTTATATTTAAATTTTTTTAACTTCAAAAAAATCATAGAAAATTCATTTTTACTTCAAAAAGTTTGAAAAAATTATGAAAAGTACTTTTGATTTTTCTCTTTCTGATTATTATTTTTTCACAATTTTATTTTGTGTTTTGATATTTTTTTATAATTTTACACTTTATTTGAATTGTTTTAAATGTTTTAAAATACTTTTCTTAATTTTTAAATTCTGAAAAAAATATGGAAGGATTCAGTGACCTTTTGACAAATATTAGTGACCTCATTTCATTTTTATTTCTAAATTTACTATTTTTTACAATTTTTTGTTTGTTTTGCCTATTTCTTTTAATTTTAAAAATAGTTTCTGACTTTATAAAATTACCAATAATTTTGTATAAATATTTGAGCTCGTTTTTTTATTTTTTTATAGTCTTAGTTGATTTTTCTTGGATGTTTTGAATACAATTGCTATTTCCCCCCTTTATTTTCATATAAAAATCATTTTAAAAATATTTTTTCTTTAGTTTAAAATATTATTTTATTTTGTATTATATTCTGGCTGATCTTGGACTATGAAATTTTGATCATAAGCTTTATTAACATCATTGGATGTTGAGTTTGACTCCACAAAAAATGAATGAATGATTTTAATAATAATTTGATTAAATTTTTGGTTCAAATGTGGTTTAATTCTTGCCTCATCCCTCTTCATCTTATCCCCTTCTTATTGTACTAAATGTTATTTGAGAATGATTTCCATATCATTTCTCAAAACATATGGTACATAGATTGCTATTGACCGACCTCAAAATAGGTGCGACTTCTATATAATTCCACTTACGATTTCTTAACATAACGTTAAATTTTGTCCCGATTTGAGAAAATGATCATTCGTGGCCCAACCCCGTGTTTATAAGACCAAGTATGTTAAGTTGAACCCTTTGATCCAATAACCTTGAGATTAATTGTTAGGAGGCTTTAGTCCTACCAATCCTCCAATGAATTTTCATCAATCTTGGGTCAAAATGGATCACTTAAACATCATTGATCATTTATTGTTTCCTTTAGATTTAAATGAATGATATACTTGACAAAAAGAAAATGCAACTTGTTGCTGAGAGGCTTTGATTTTATCAATCTTCTAACGAGTTCTAAATGCAAGTTTTAAGATGGTCATTCAACTAACCACTAATTCCTAACAATTAATATTATTTTATGCTTTTACTTTGTGTTTTTTACTTTAAGCACATTTATTTTAGCATTTACATTTCATGCTATTTTCATCTTTACTCACTTGAGCATTTACTTTTTATGTCATTTTTATTTTGCACATTTGAGCTTTCATTTTATTTTTGAAGAAACCTAATAGTCAACTTGAACCATAAAAAACATTAATGTTACTTGGACTACTTGGTTACTATCCTTTGTATTATGTAGTTGTGGACTTCTTAGACTTAGGATTAGAAGTTGTGACCTACTTAGAGACCTTGTGACCTCAACTGTTATTTTATCTTGAGTTTTTGGGATTTACCCCCAAGAAATTGGGTTGTTTATTTGTTTGCTTTGTCTGCGTGTTATTTTGATTACATGTTTTGTCCGTGATCGAGAATTCATCTGTATACAACCGTTACTTTGTCCAATTATTTGTAAAGACTTAATATAATTGAAGCTTGGTTTTCTTAATAGTTTCATTATATTTGCTTATTTGGTTTCAAATCCAAAGAATGGGAATTCTGCATTGACTCATTATGTCAAGTGTTGGCTTCTTGTTGGTTAGACGGTTCTTTTCCCTAGCTTTTAACTTATGATTTAGGATAGTCTCTTCATCTCCTCCCAACTTATTTAATTTCAAAAATCTTCTCCCTCCTTTTGAAAACTCTTCTTGTTTTTAAAACTTGAACCGATTTCACAAATAAATTTGGACTTGTGTCCATGCATTTTCAAAAAAAATTTCATAATCAAACTTTAATCAACTTAATAATACTTTGACATTTTTGTGAGAAGAGTAAAATTCAATCAATCTCATACAAATTATCTTTGCCACTTTGGCTTTTTACCTTAAAATTTTCTCAAAAAGATTAGACTCCTGTCAATCTTTGTAGTGATGCGAGCTACTATACTTCCACGATATGTAGTGAAGTGAGATATTTTCCACTTGGATGTTGAGCGAGGCTTTGTTGATTCTAAAATCCAAGCTATATCCTCCACTTTGAGATAACGCAAATTATCCTTTCTCATAATTGTGGGTAGTAAATATGTTTTCCACTCGGATAACACGATGATGTCTCGTCTCTTAAAATTAACCAACACACTTGTGTTTTTTTCAAAAAAAATTTAAAGGTGAACTACGGGTACCCTGATCCCCTATTGCACGGAAGGTAGTACGTAGGCACTAAATGTTCGTAATCGCGACGGGTGCAAAAATAAAAAATAAAAAACTTCTTTTCTCATATCCATAATATACTTTTATACAACATTTTATAGCCAAAATACACAGATTTACAAAGAATTTCCTACAGAGTATCGTAGATGTTTAGGGTGCTAATACCTTCCCTTTGCATAACCAACCCCCGTACTTAGATTCTTTCACCATCTTTTTGGTTTATTCGCTCTTTTTCCATTCCTTTGGAAATAATAAAGCACGGTGGCGATTTTTATTTTGATCTGTGCAAGTCAAGTCAATTCAATGGTTTAGTCTCAATATTTCTACGGTTACACTTGCTCACAACTTTTCTCAAAACATTTTTTCGTACATCCCTTTCAAACAAGTATTTTCAAAACACTTTGTACACAATCTTGAGGACTGATACAAGAATCATTACAAAGTCAGCCTTACATTGACAATTTCAAAATATTTTCAAACAAATCAAACACAAAGGAAGTTTTCAAAAGTGAGCTAAGCAATTAAGAGCCCGTAGATAACTACAGATGAAAAGGGTGCTAACACCTTCCCTTTTTATAACTTATCCCCCGAACTCAAAATTTATCAAGGTCTTTCCTGTTCTTTTCACCCTTTCCTTATTGGATAAAAGAAAAGTCGGTGGCGACTCTTGCTATCTGTAACATTTGCAATAAAACACAAAACAAGTTAGTTCCCCCACCATATTACAGGGCTGAATGTTGAATTTATAAGAGAGAAGACTCATTTACCTAACACCTTAAGGTTTTGGATTGAGATGTAGAGTCTTCCTCTCTTGTGGTCCTGGAACATTGGTCTCATTGGTGCTCCCAACTTCCTCGACTCCCTAACACATATAATATCTAAAAAATCTATCAACAAAAGTTGTAAGACTAGACATATGTATCGTCTTAATTAGGGTTATTAAGTCATATGTATTCTCATTAGGTAATACCAGTCATATGAAACATCAAAATAATGATTCACTAGTCATATTTAGTCTAATTAAGTAGGATTAGATATCCAAATCATCGATATTGTAATTATTAAGTTGTACTAAGC